GCAGAGCAGAATAAAACCTTTTTTTTTTCTTTTTTTTTTTTCTTTTTCCTTTTGGTTTATTTGTAAGCATCATGCTGGTCATTCCTCAGGTTCAGATCAGGAGCCTGTGAACAAATTGCATTCCAAGTCTAGTGTTTATCAGCTGTGAAAGCAGCTAGTATTTCTCTCTCCAAAAATACTTGAAAACAAAGGTAGCTCTGCTTTTTAAGTTGGGTTGGTACATTCGAACTCCTTAGGACAGGTCCATGGTGAGAATTGTATGTTTCCAACCCAGACGGCTTAAGGCCTACAGTCATTTAAATTTCAGTCCCAGGCTTTCCGTGGTGCACAGTCTTTCCTGTCACTCCTTAAGCAAGTTCCTGAGGCTGTGCATTAACAATCCCACCAGGGCGGCCATGTCCAGAATTTCCACCAGGCTCCGGGGCCAGGCTCTCTCCCTGCACAGCTCCCAGTGGCCACACACTCCTGCACGGGGAAGTGTGAGTGATTTTGAGCAGGCACTTGTACAGCTACTGCTGCGGTGCTTAGCCAGAGCTGCTTTTGATAGAAACATGGCTTGGGCAGGCCCCTCTGCTTCAGCTTACATGGCCTGGAAGCAGGAGAGGATCTCTTCCTTTCTTTCACTACCCATAAAAGAGCATGCTCAGAGGATTTTGCCCCACCCACAGGAATATTTTCTTTATCAGGCCTTAACCTTAATAGGTTAGACCCTTAACCCTATGTTCTGAAATAACACCAGCCTAATGCTAGACAACTGGTGGACTGCTTGGGGGCAATAATTTTGGGACTATTTGTTTTCTTATAAAATTCTGGTGTATTCCTGTGACTATAAAACATTAGAAAAGAAGGAGAGGGAGAGGGTCAACACAAAACCTCCCTTTCAGAGCAGGAGTATGAGGGTGGGGAAAAAAACACCTGCCTGTCACTGTGTGCCATACATGTTAAGTGACTTGAAAAGCATCCTTCTTGTTCTTACACAGTGAGGACAAGACATTTTGTGACTGTTTCAGCAAATTCTTGCTCCTGTCACCAAACTACTTAGTGTTTAAGTAGATTTCATGGATTCAATTCAAAGCATGTTTTGCAGTACTGCATTTTTTTTGCACTTTCAGAAGCTTGCAAACATCATTCCATATATTTTCCTTTATTTTCTTACCTTTTATTCCATAAAATTCCATAGAAACTGAAATTCTCGTGATCACTAAGTGCTTTGAAAATTGACAGAATTTGAGCTTTTAAGTCACTTAAATACTTCAAAACTTACAAGAACCCAACATATTTTAATTCCATTCCTCATGAAGGGAGTGAAGCTGCCTCTCCTAAAACAGTCTTCTCTGGATGACAAAATTTTCTTTACCATCCTTAATGTAATCTTGGTGGCCTTGGTATTACACAGATTTTTGGAAAAAATAAAAGAACAAAAACCCACTTCCAGCAAAATAACTACCAGAGATGGGATTCCAAATTGTGATGATTGTTGCTAAGGTTTGGCCGTGTTTTGCTAACTTTTACTGAGTAAAATTTTTTCACTTAAATCCTATTCATCTTTTTGGATTGTCATAAAGACAAGCTGTGGATTGTAAGGTGGGGACTTGGATAAATGGGCAGGGTGGAGACATGGTATCAGGTCTGTCTCCAAATCCATGTAATTTAAGCTGGTGTGGTATGGGCGTGGCTGCAAAGAGCTCCCCATTCTGCTGACCTCTTATTTTGCAGTATAGGGATGTCCAAAAAGTTGCTTAGTTAACAATTCTGCTTTTCAATCTCTCTAACAGTTTTGATATTTGGGTTTTGATAAAATGTAAAAGATTTCTTGAGTATTTCTGATACAAGTCAGTTGTGGTGGGTTTGGTTGTTTTTCTTTTTAATTGACTTGTATTTGAAGCTTTGTTCCAGACTGTTTGTTAACCCTGCGTAGGGACAGAATTTGGGGTACTGTACCTGTCATCGTGTACCTACATGATTTGGATTCTTGGGCACTTTATTGACTAGAAAAGACATCTCATTGCTATCAAACCGTAGGCTTGTGCTGCAATATTAATATGAAGTGGGGTGTATAAAAACTACGCATTTGCCTATCCGTTGTTACTTTAGTTAAGAGAAGTGGCCTGAAGTTAATGTCTGAGAACAAGTTGTGCTATACGTATTCAAAACTAGCGCAAGTGAAATCATTCTTTCTATGAAAGAGGAACTTCTAAGTGTGTGTGTCTGCAGGCGCACGCGCATCCCTGTTAAGACTGTGTTGTTGAAGATGCAGATCCTCTTAGCGTTGGAAGCATGTCAAAAGCTGAGTCAACGATACCTGTCTGGGGATTAATAAAGGAACATTGCAATTCAGAACTTGTTAGTGACTTGGACGTTTCCCATTTCTATAATGATTTTAAGATCAGTAATTTAAGTGGTGCACATTTCTGGATTCATCTTTTTACACTGTACAAAACATGCTTGTACTTCAAAAGGTTGGGCTTTAACCCCTAATGTTATACAGTTGCATGTGCAATATGGCTCGCGTATCCTCAGCTTCCTGTCATCAGTGTATTCCTTAAAATATTTTTTTTTCAGCTGGAAAAGTTTTAACACTTGTATTGACTCAATTGTGGAACTTCTGAAGCAAACTCTGAATCCACTTATGGTAAAGACAAAAATAAGATTTCATGTTAATATTTCATACAAGTCTTCCAGAAGATGCTGTCATACGAATGAATTGTTTAAATGACTGTAATGCGAATTCATAATGAAACATCAAAAATAGATCATGGATTTGAGATGCCTTTAAAGTGTCACTTTTGCCTAAAGAAGTTTTAGTTTCCAAAGTTGAATCCTGCTGAATAGAATGGAATTGTTTGGATTTTTTTATTGAAGTGTTAATTATTTCCAGATGAAAGTTACATTTTGGTTGAGTTTGAGGATAGGAAAACTCTCTTCATTAGTTTGTTTCATTTTTATGTTGAAGATGTGAAATAACTGATTATTCAAGCAACCCAATCACTAATAAGGTAGTGTGTTTAAAACTGTCAAATCTGTGACCATACCAATATAGTGGTTTTTGTTAAGACTGGACTATCTTGGGTACAGTAACCCACACTTCAGTGCAATGTTTATTGATGTTCAGAACAATGTTATCACAATAAACAAACTTAAACTAATTTTTTCTTCAATTTGTGCTTACAAGTTCCATTCTTGTATTGCTAATCTAGTAAATGTGGATTTATTTAAATTGTGTTCATATCTTATATTTAAAGTTGCTCTAAGGACTGTGATATTTGCTTTCTTTCACACTTGGTTTACTCCTAGAGTATTTATACAGCTGACAAGTAATTGCTGTAATCAAATTTACATTGTTTTCCAATACCATTATTAGGTTATAACTAAAATGAAAGCTAAGCATACATTCATAATGTAGAATCTGAGGTAACATACACTGTAGTCATAGACACATCTCAGGAATCCACAAGCTGCCTTGAATAAAATACTGCAGCTACAGGGTGTGAGCACTTGTACGCCTTCCCTAGTTTGGAGTTTCATCCTAATTCCATCCAAGCAACATGTTCATTTCAAAGAAAAACAAACAAACAAAAAAACCCACAATCATTTCAATCACACAAATGTATGATAGATCTGCATGGATGTGTAAATCATGTGGTGCAATGCAGGTGTACCACTTGTACTGCTGCTCCCATTGCACATCAGCTCTCTTCTGTCCAGATACAGAGCCTGGTGCTAGTTTTATCTCCTGCTGCAGAAGCAGAGATTGCATTTCTATTTAGTTTCCCCTGTGATTCTGCTCATACCCTGTGCCCTTCACACCTAGGTCTCTTCAGTCTTCATACCATGCTTCTGTCACTGCCCATCTTTCACACCTAGGTTTCAGCACTTGTCTGTGGTGTGCAGTGAGCAACAAAGGGCAGGCAAGTCCTGTGCATGCCAAATGCTCAAAGGTGTTAGAGGAATATTGGCTGTGCTCAAATTGTTCCTCCTGTATCCCTCCTATCCCATTCTTGGTGGAAGGACAGTTTTGTCTTGGAGGAGTTGTCTTAGATCTAGGGCCCTCTCTGACCTACAGATGTGCCATGAGCTCCCTTAGACTGCTGGAGGACTGGTCACCTTTCTCTGAGGGTCCCAGGTGCCAGCAGGGAGTTTCATCTATGGCTTGCTGAATTCCTACTGCCCTTCACAGGCCCTGGCACCCATCCCCTTGAAAGCCATGGTATGCTGCAATTCCTCCCAGCGCGTGGGCCTTGGGGCAGGGAGGTGGTGAGAGGCATCCCACTACTGCACTGGGATTAAATCCCACATATTGCTGCGTGAGGGCCCGGTGTTATGCCATACATCCTGCTCCCAGCAATGGGCACTGTGTGTGTGCAGGGCGCTCTCTCTAGTGTCACCTCCCACCTCCCTGGGAGGATGGGGCTGATTCGTGCCTTGCATTCACACAGAGATCCTCGAACAAAGTATGGTTAACAGGGCATTGGGGTAACTACAAGCAAGGCTGAGCCACCTCCTCATGAGTGCTACAAGTGCAGGTCTTCACTTGTAAGGGCATAAGGCCAGAAAGAGTTTAGTCAACTTTCACCTTGTACTGTTCCAGTCCTCGTGAAGGAGCAGGTAGCTGCAGGTCCTGCTTACCCCAGCACTGAGAATCAAGGCACTTCGTGGTTCTTCCCAATCACTCCTTCATTCCTCCCCTGCCTTTTCCTCCTTCCTAACCTCTGTTCTCTGCCCTAATATTTTGTCTGATACTACTTCATCCCCAAAAGTTTCGGGGAGTGAAACAGCCAGGAATCAGGATGCTGAATGAGGAAGTGTGTTGGCAGAACTTCTATGCCGTCTATCCCAAAACCTATATAACAATGCCTGAGACTGAATTAAACACCTAACCCACACATGCAGGCTTGGCTACGAAGCCAGAAACTGAACTTTTAAAGGTGGTGGAGGAAAAAGCCAAGGTTTTGGCTTACAGTACTGCTGTACTCACTGGAAAGCAAAGGGACATCAAGACATCACAAAACAGGCAGGCTTTATTTGGACATGTCAGCAGCTGGCTTCCTTCCATCAAACAGTTTTCTCCATGCTCTCAGGTATCAGACCCTGTACACCCGCGTATACGCGCACACAAAGCATATGCTCAAATGCACTTCTTTGAAAAATCAGTAACTTTTTTTTACAATCAAGATAGCAAAATGGATAAATGGCAAGACCTGCTTACGTATGAACACGTTATAAGATGCTCTTTGAAGTCTCCACGTACAAAGCATTGGCAGAGCAGTTCTGCATCATGCCTGAAGTCTGCAGGGTGCCTTGCAGGAGGTTCGGTGCGTGCAGGTCTGCTGTGTGATGACAGGACGCGGCCCCAGGTGTTCCTGGCAGCTCGACAACTGGAACTCTGCGCCTTTCTCTGGGAGCAACTGGGAGCCAAAGTGTGCCTGCAGCGCGTGTCTCAGTGAAGCAAATATCCCTCGCATCGCCAAGCTGATGCTGCGTGAGAGCATTTGTGGTTTTGGTGGCCCATTTGTATCCACCACTGTGCCACACCGTAAGGACTGACTGACTGCAGCTGTAACTTGCTTCCAAATGCAGGATGCAGCCTTGGAACCACTGCACTCCTGAGGCTAATCTGCTTCTGGTTAAGGAGCCCTTTACCTTGCATTCCCAGCACAATTGAGCCTTTTAAAGCTATACAGGATGCTCACTTACGCTTTGGGCCAAGTTGCCTTCCCATGCCTTTCTCTTACAGGTGCACTTCTTTGTTCGTAATACTCCTGGAGTGGCTGGCTGTCTCCACCAAGTTAACTACATCCTCTGGCTGCTGAATTGCACAAAGTTGCTGCAAGTAACCTGGCGTACATTGAGAGGCGACGTGGTGGAGGTTGGTGGGGACATCTGTGGCACACAGCCACTGCTTTAAGTGCTCAGCATAGTGACATCTCCACCGTCTCCGAAGTCTAAATAGCAAATGAAAATAATGAGGTAGTTTCACACGTGTTGCGATGGAAATTTGCATTCTCACTTTGCTCCAGGCTTTCCTGTGGTTTCCTCTGATATTATTGATTTTTATGGCTCTCTGCTGCCTTTCCCATCTGCTCTAGGATGCGCTGTTTGCACCAGGCCAGGGCAGTGTGTCTCTGGCTGGCACCACTGGTTTGTAAAACATGCAGTGTACCCGCCTTACAGCTTCAACCTACTGCATGCTGTTTTTTAAGGCATTCTTATTTCCAGATGCTTCCTGTTTGAGGTGGGGAACGCTTTTCTATGTGGTTGCTGAATGAACCAAGAGTGTGAAAAGGTTCTTTCAGTGCAGGTTATTTCCTTGGGCGGTTGCTGATTGCCACTGAAGATGTGAATGCCTGTCAGCGGGTTTGGGGTATTCTGAGCACTGCTCTCACCCTTTCCTTTGAAGCTGAGCTGTTTCGTACAGAACAAATCCTCAGTAGGCCCATGAATTCATCTGTGCCTGAGTCTCTGCCAGCTGCTGCTAAATTTAAGGAATGTTTTACCCAAGCACTGACTGAGGCGGTGATTGAGACCCTGATCCCTCCTCCCTGTGCTGTTCAGGGACTGCAGCACCGCAGTCTGCCCAGCAGGGTGAATAGTCCACCTTGAAGGCTCCACTAGGGTAACTTCATTAAGAGAAAATGAGCCACTTACCCTGATTACAGCGATCACTAAAGCAAGGCTTTGGTGAGTTCCTCACCAAAGTTGATAGCTTCAGCCACTGTGCTGCTACAGATGGTGGATGGGGAGCTAGCTCTAAAAGGTGTTCTCAAAATATGCCTCAGACTCAGTCCTGCTGTGACATAGGTTAGAGAGTGCTTTACAACCGGGTATAAATCCTGGTTAGGTTGCATTATGTGGGATCAAACAATCCCAGCACCGTCAGCAGCAGATCCTGGGCACGGGGAGAAGCTTTCTGTCAGAAGAGAGCCCCGTCCGACAGTACAACTGGGCTCCTGAGGATGTGTGGGCTGGGCTTAGAAATTTACCAGATCAGTCAGGTAAGAATTAGGTAATGAAATGTTTGTACCTCTAGCCCTAAACTTTCACTGCTGATTCTTAAAAATGTCTCACTTGGAGGTAGGGGGGTGGAGAAAAAGGAGGTGGTGGTTGCCAGCGAGGTCTCCCTAAGCTCTAGGCTCACTTTGTTTGTTTCCATGAGTCATTTTTAGCACAGGCAACAATAATGTAACAATACTTGAGTCACACACAGTCTGGAGCCAACTTCTTAGAGAACACAGCTTTCTTGTGAGTGAAAAATATCCTAAAAGGAAAAGAGCCTCTATGGCTTTCGTACATAACAAGAACTTGGTTAATATATATATATATACATATATATATGGTTGATGTAGTTGGCTTTCAAAAGAAAAAGTCTTTCCTGTCTGTCCCTTCATCTCTGAGATGTAGAAAGGCATGGGAGAGCAGTGGGCTGTTGCTTTGGGACAAAAGAAAACCGAGCTCTTCTTGAACGAGGGGTGGTCCAGCCCAGATCAAGTCAAATGTGCAGGGAAATGAGGGGGGTGGCTCCCTTCACCGGGCTCTGCAAGTTCACCGCGTCCCTTAAGCAGCTGCTCCTACACAAGCAGCCTTCCTGCTCCACAACACATCCAGCCCTGGCTGTTGCTTATCAGCAACACCCCAATTTCTAAAAACCAGGTGCCAGGAGCTCTTCCTAAGCCACGTGCTTTAAAAAAATCCGCTCGCAATTTCCTTCCTGTGCTCGCCCCACCACCCCCGCCCGGCACAACCCTAGCTGCAGAGGGCCTGATGCAGAGCTCCTCTGGGGCCAGGGAGCTTTTTCTGTCTGCTTTTCTCCGAGGCAGCTCAGCTTCCAGGATGCGATGGTTTGTTGTGGGAAGGCCCCCTCTCATCGCCTGGAAACAGGGTTATTAGGGAGTATCAATTCCAAAACTATGCGGCAAAGAAGGCGTGAAGTCTGCATTTGACCTCCTCGGATGGGGAAAGGCTTCAGCTGAGCATACGGGGCTGCTTCCAGCACGGGGAGTTCTTCCCTCACCTAAAGGATTTATTTGTTCTGAGGCTGTAACAGCTGTTCTGGATTCGTAAGAAGGAAAATACACTACACAACCCGCTATGATAAATACAACTCTATGTGTGAGGAATAGACTATGAGAAAGATGACCAGTTTATGTGAGATACAGATGACAGTGGAAAAGTCTTGCTCTTACTAAAGTATGGTTAGATTCTTTTTCCACCCATGAAAGAGCTCAAAATGTTAACTCCAACGAGCCAGAACATTATTTTTGTCACTTCAATTGAGAAGTGGCGAGTACAAGAAATAAAACGTTGCACCAAATGTGTTTAAGCTACTAAGCAAGTTGTTCCATCCATAGAGACAGATGTTGGGTGTTAAAACCCCACTGAAAAGTGCTGATGCAGGAGGCCGCTAAAACAAAGACTCAGTGCAGGTGCTTGGTTTGTACATTTGACAGCATTGGCTAAAAAGACTATTTTCCTAAATTGGCTTTTTTAGCCATTTTTTCCTCTGGTTTATCTTTTACAATGCAACAAAGAAGAGAACTACTTCTCTAATGCAAATACTGTAGGTATTCCAGACACCAGCACTGTAAAATTTTTCAAAAGCTTTTCAAAATGATCATTGTTCTAGCTAAGAACAGGTGATTCAGATTTCTCTGACCTGGCTCGTTGTTTTCAAGCTCTAAGCCTGAATCCCAAGAGCATCACGCTTCACTGGTTGTCTTTTTTACTGCACCAGTTGGAAATTACTGTTTAAATCCTTCAGTAGCAGCAACTGTGCCTTACACTCACGCTTGCCCGTTGAAAGACAAAGTTCTCCTTGCACTGCTGCTGCCACTTGACTGGGCTGAGAGTCACTCGTCTCTTAGCACTGGGTTTGGCCCTTAGGGGAAAGAGAAAACGGATGCAGACTAACATCATTTTGCTTTGCACCACCATGGTTAGCACTTGCTTTGAACAAATTACGTGAATGCACTTGGCTCACCGCATTATTTTAATAAAGCAAGGACTAAGTCATCAACAGTGTCCAACGTGGTCTCACTTTCTTGCTCCTGCTTTACTGCATGATGGAAGCTGGCTGCAACTGGAAACTGCAGCAAAGATGTAAACTTTGATACACCACGGACGCTGGCAGAGATAAACTGGGGAGCAGACTGCAAAGGCTATTTAATAGGGAGTAGCAAGAGCACAGTGGAGAAGTATTTACTGAGAATGTATTTGTTGTTTAACAGCTGTCGTGTTTGTACAGGTAAACTAGGACTTGGGGAAGGAGTTACTTTAGCTACAGAAACAGGTCTTTCGTAGCTGTCTCTGAAAACTGGGGACAAGGTTTCAATACAGACAATAAACCCATCACTGAAATCAAATATATAAACTGAATATATTAAAGCTTTGAATTTTATTACACTTAATTTCTTCGGAATATCTTACCCTTCTCTCCTGTTCCACGATGGACCTAAACATGGGAAATGGAAGGATAAAGCAGAACCCCACTAAACGTGGAATACATTTCATCGGAGTCCGTGTAGGCCAGTTTGCCTCCTGTCACGACGACGTTGACTTCATCTCCCGCTTTGAGGTGAAGAACGAGGTGGAACGTCCCAGGACCACCACAGGTCCGTTTCCCCGAGTAGGGTTTGTGATACTCCAGCAGTTCCCTCCTGTACCCGGCCGTGTGGAGCTGAGCAACGCTGGCATTGGAGACGGACAGCACTGCCTCGACGTACTCATCGCGCTCCGGCGCCAGCACGGCGGTGATCAGGTAGCGCCCCTCGTACGGTGACGTGAAGATGCCTGCAGAAGAGAGATGGGGATGGCTTTTCTGAGGTACTCGGAAATAACTCAGCACAAGGCCCTAAGCACAAAGACAAAATTAGCACAGCACGCGCTGTGCACTGCTGTGTAGAGGTGACTGTGATGAGGTCAGCCTGGGCAGCTGACCAACTGAGAGCGGTCACGAAGGCAACGGGGTGTGAGAAGCTACAAGCCAGACTCTTCCCATACGAGTCAGTTTAAAAACTTTCCAGGCTTGCAATGCAGAAAGCACCACCACAACTGGTACCTACCACTTCAGTCATGACCGCTCTACATAATTCTGCAGAGCCCTGAGTTTTAAAGAGCCAGCTCATGGAGGTGTTTCGGGGGGTGTGAGGGTGCTGAGGTGGCTCACACTGAAGTCTGGATCAAAAGCAGGGAGCCCTCCTCTCCTCAGGCTGCAGTGAAACGGGTCGGTAAGGAGCCTCCCTGCTGCTAATAGTGTCCCTAGCTGCCTGGGAAGGATGAGGAGCACACAGTGGTTGTGGTGAGTCAGGGAGGTGAGTCAGGCCTCAGTGTAACTGGTAGCTGTGGAAAACCAGCATGGCCAAAGTGTGTGACTGTCCCCAGCCTTAGGAATGTGAGCTCCTGCCCTGGCTTAGATGGACTTGTGTAATTTCTTGCGTTCGATGCACCGCAGTGCCTGAGATGGCATCGACCACTTGTAATGTGTGTTACTGCCCACCTGGCAGCTCCGTGGGTCCGCTCTTTGCCTTACCTGTGTTGGGGTTGTAATAGTCCCCGTCATTCACCAGCACTTTGTTGAAGTGAACCACGCCGACGTCGCTGGAGAAAGGCTTCTGTGTGAGCCCAGCAGAGAAGGACACCAGCGAGGCCGCGGCGGCAGCAGGTCCTAAAATGGGTAAGAACATGACTGAGGCCACTTGGGGATGACAGCACAGCCTTTCCCTGCGATGGTTTATAGCCCAGCGTCTCTGCTCCTGCAGATACTCCCCTCAGCCTAACCCTGCCACTTGAGGCGTGCCAGAGTTAGCAGAATACATTCTGCTGGCCCAGCTTTCTTGCCATAAAAAAATTACTGAGGACCATAAAATTTTCTCCTTGGCTACAGCCTCCCAGCTCTGTCAGGGGAGCCAGAAAACTGGCATCACCTACGAGCTGCTTTTTGCCCCTCTAAGGAAAAGATTAAGCGTGGCTTGTAACTGCTGGAAGTAGCCATCCTGCCACACCTGAATTCAACAATGCTCTGCCATGGAGCAGCTCCAGGCTTCAGGCTGCCCTGCATATCTCTGCTCTGTATCACCATCAAACTGGCAGCAGAAGTGCGGAAGGTCGGTAGCTTGTGCCAGCTCTCCGAGAGGAGAGGCTGTGCACAGCTTAATTTCCTGCCTTCTCCGCCAAAGGCTAGCGAAAACATCTACACAAGTAACACTTTTAGGTGTTCCAACAAAGAGAATCACATCTGGGGCTTTTCTGTCTTTTGCACTTCTCTTTCAGGAAATTTTTCACTCCGATTTTTTTTCTTTTCTCAGCAGCTCAGACAGACACTTACGTATTTCATAGTGTCTATCTGCTTACTAGCTAACACCACTTGATGAAATACAATTTGGACTATTAGGACAAATTTTTACTTTTAAACAGACTGACTTAAAGGCAAGTCTTGGTGATCAACCGTGTGTTAGTCTTTCAGCTCCCTTCCTTATAAACGTTTCCCTTAAGGCAGGAACACTGCTAGAAGCAGTCAACTCTTGCTGCTTTGATCTGGCAATTAGGTAAACAATGAATACACTTAAAGTTGTCCTCGGCTGCTCCTTCTGTTCTACACCATTCATGGTTCAGGTTAGGATCCAAGTCTCTCTGCGCTGTGTCAGCCCTGCTCCTTGTTCTGCTGCCTTTAAAATACACATCTGGTTTCTCTCCCTCCCAATATGACATGCCACCAGCAAGCAGTGATACAAACATTCAATTCTTTGATACAGAAGTTTAAAAGTGACAAAACTTTATCTAAAATTTGAATATACCAATGTTATTTTAGATATTTATTTTTTTTTTTCCTGAATAACTTCGCACAGAGGCAGGGGTACCATAAGATGCCAGCAGCTTCAGAAATGGCAAATACCCACCATGAGCTCCCTTGGGGTCTAGCAAACAGATGCTTCATGAATCTTTGGGTATCTCCTCATTCAGTATTTTGTCTCACGCTCACAAAGCAGACAGAACCCTTTTACCTGGCAGTGCATGTGTAAGAGCTCCCATGAGCTAAGATGAGGCTATTCAAAAGGACCAAATTGAATTGCAGGAAGTCTGCTTGCTTCAGGAGGGAGCTTCTGCAAAGCCCCAACCCCTTTAACATCACTCTACTTACAGGAAGCATCTTTGTAGTCGCAGCTTTCCCTGAGACTCAAGTCAAATGATGATGTACATCAACTCATTTCTTGCTGGCTGACTCAGAGAGGTTCCTGCAGCCTGCCCAGAAATACTCTGCTCTCCGTTTGCAACAGCTACAGATCACAGTAGCTAAGGATATGTGAGGAAGTGACTCCTGTCCTGCCTCCCCTAAGCTTCCTTTAGATTTTCCTGCACTGACACTGATTACTTCAATAGTTGTCAGTTTGCTGCTGAGATTTCCTTCCGATCTGCAGCCTTGTTTTTTGAGCCACCAGCTCCGTTTTATGTGTACTTGTCTAAAGAAGAGATCTTAACTGCCTCTAAATGTCCTGTAGGATAGTTCAGTGGGCAAACACAGAGGTGCAGGAAAGTCATGATGTTTCCATGCTCTCCTATCCTTGTTTCTAACTGGAGCTGCGCCTGTCTGAAGTTTGCCCAAGTCCTACCAATAGCTCTCAGCAATGCTTTTGCAGATCCTTACAGAGGTGAATCGCCTTCCCTTACATGTCCCCACTTGCACATGCTTTTCTTCACCCCGAGATCAAAGCTCAGTTTCTCTATGCAAGGTCCAGGCCTGGAAACTCCAGACTTTCACTTCAGGAACTAATGCTGTGACATTTTACAAATAGAAAGAAAAGTTTCAAAGCATTTGAAAGCCAGGAGCTATAAATGCACTCCTCGTGAAGGAACTGCGGGGCAGAGGAAAAGCTTCACCTTCATTGAGAAGGAATGGGCTGAAAATATCAGCAATTTACCACTACCACCTTTCATTTTTTAAAAAATTCTTCAGTTTGACCCCAGCACATCTCATTTCCAGGAACATTCCCTCTGCACGTGGGATAGCCATGCCAAACAGTGTTCTGTATTACCCTGCACAAGAAGTTCCTTTGAGAGAGGAGCAATCACCCTCCGTTGGAGCTGCAGGGTCGGGGATACCACCAATGCTGCAAACTGTGTGAAGAAGGAGGGAGGGAAAGGCAATTTGTGCTCTCTCTCTCTTTTTTTTTTTTTTTTTCCCTGTGACCCTCTGTATGGTGATCAGAGCATCCAATTCCTCTAGCTGTGTGACCTGGGGATCTAACAAGCATTTTCTCATCGGTTCCCAGAGCAGTTCATCAGCTAATTCATGACCTCTGCCGCTGCAATTGTCAGCAAAGGAAAATTCTCACGACTGTAAAATTGCCATGCTTCAATAACATTCGCTGATGATGATGCTTTAAATATCTACTGCTTCAACTCTTTTTGTAGCAAAAGGCATTAGATGAAGCCGCTTGGGTCCTGATGCTTAATTCACCCCTGTCATAAACTCCTTGCCTGTGAAAACAGAGCTCATGCCTATTATTGTACCTCACGCCCTCTCATTAACACTTGCGAATCCCTGAAGATCTTTACCTACAAAGTTATATTGTAAGAGGCATCCAAACAGATGGCTAATGCATCTGGAAAGCTCAGAAGTGCTATTGAAAATATGCAAAGTAGGCCTCAGCATTCAAGACAAGCACTGATGTGGGCTAGTTTATACCAGAGGACAGAGCTGGAGCCCTCAGCTTCTTCCTGAGTAATGCCTTCACGTAACAGCCTAGTCAGAAACAGAAATGAAAGGGAAAGAGATATGAAAGGGAGCACTCAGAAGGCCAATTTAACAATCCATGCTCCTGGTTTTAGGAATCATAGTACAAGAAGGTCTGATCTTCTTTCAGATTGCAATTTCAGTACTACAAAATGTTCTGGGCGAAGACTGATAAAGGCATAAACTGTGGTCTTGCTTGAATTAGGTCTTAAAGGTTCCTCAGTGCCTTACCTAAGCATTAAGTTCCTCCTCCAACAAACCAAAGACCTTCCCTATCCCAGCTGTTAATTTCTACAATACTGCTGAATTCTTCCCCAGAAGGCTCTCTTTCGTTGCTCTTTATAAGCAGCCACCACCTATACGATCAGGAACAGCGGGTGTAAATGCCCTGACTCCACCAAGCCCAACAGCTATTTGTACCATACTGCATTTGTACCATGTCTTACCCTCTGCTTTCTATCACCTCACCTGGCCTTGGGCTTGCGAGGCATTTTGGGTGAAGCACGACAGGCTGGCAGGTGTATCTTGTATTGAGACAGGCCTTCAGGGGCACAGATTGGGAAAAGGAACTCCTTGGCTGAGCTCACCTCTCTGTAGATGTTGGAGTGCTACCACACCATCTGTAGCAACATGTTCCACCAAGCAGCCCTCGCACACACTGGCTGCCACACCTTGCCCTTTCAACACGGTTAACGTGCACAGTTCACAGTTTTAGCATAAACTTATTAAAATACTGCTGTCTATGAACTGCAGTAGTATGCATAAAGTGGAATAAGTCCCCCAGGAAATCCATTTATCACAGAGATCTAGACATTTATATTGGCTTTTCTGGCAGCAAGATAAATGAGCATTTCCTTACTTCTCATCCCTTTCCAGAAGCCTAATCTATAGCTCCTTGTTCTTCCTCTGCTGCAATCCTCAAACGCAAAAATATTGCTTTAAGGCTATGAAGGATTTTTAATTAGAAAGTATATATATATCAGGGTTACAGTATCAACTCTTTACGACTCTTCTTGTCAGTACCCCAGCCCAGTCTTCGGGATGTGCATCTGTGATTTGGTTAAGGCTAAAACCCAGGGGTAAGATTTTGGATGTCGTAAAGCCCCTCTGTTCTATCTATTTCTGATATTTCCTTCAACACACTTAGATGAAATCATTCTTTCTGCAGAAAGTGTGGGAATATTCACTTTGACACAGGATACCACTCCCCAGGGTTTGATACTATCTGGAGTATGAGACTGTAGGGCAGGCAGCAACCAATCAACGCATTTATTGAGGCCAACTAGCATGGCCCACACAAGCTATATACCTCCTTATCATACAAATCTGTCAGTGAATTATGATATTAGCAATTATAATAAAACCGCATCAAGCCTAGAAAATTGTATTTTAAGTCTTTCTAAATGAAGGCTGACAGTGGGAACACTCCTGCTTTCACTGAAGTGTGGAACACGAGTCCTCATTGTTCTAACAATGGTAGAAACTCTCCCATGAGGAGCACCAACTCACACACTCAGTTACTAACAGTGCTTCAAAAATCATAGCATTGGCCTTAGTATTAATTTCTTACTAAAGGAATATTAAATTCATTGGAAAGAAATAGATCACAGAATCATAGAATCATCTAGGTTGGAAGAGACCTCCAAAATCACCAAGTCCAACCTCTGACATAACACTAACCAGTCTTCCACTAAACCATAACCCTAAGCTCTACATCTAAACGTCTTTTGAAAACCTCCAGGGATAGTGACTCAACCACCTCCCTGGGCAGCCTATTCCAATGCCTCACAACCCTTTCCATAAAGAAGTTCTTTTCATTTAAAAGGAAAATAAATAAATAAATAAATAAATAAATAAATAAAGCACAAAGTAAGTAACAATATCAGCAAATGAATTATTTTTAAAAACCTTAAAACACACACATTTTCAAAGGATGCAGACTATGTTTTAATGCTAAGGTGTAGCAAATGCGTTAGATTTTCCTTAATGTCACTTTGTTCTCTTAGCCACAGCTCTCCAGGGACTGATATTAAGTACCTGTGTAAAGCATTTCTGCAAAACAATTGCCTTACCCTGTGAGTCCGTCGTTGGAGGAGATAACTTCGGATACCCTACAAAGCAAAAGTAATGTGTGTTACACAGTACATAATTGAGAACATTATGACAAAATACCACTGCATTCTTCTAAAAAATATCTTTTGTTACCAAAAAGCTACCTACCAAAACTTGCTACCAAATAACATCTCCTATGAATGCTCAGACTATCGTTAAACTGGGGCAGTCACAGCAAGAAGACCAAATTCTTACTACAGGGCATTAAATCCATGGCAAGCACTACAGCAAGAAAAAATTAATTTAGGTTTCCCTAGGGGCACAGGCTGCTGTAGTTACCAAGGACTTTACATCAGCCCCATTGACCTCATGCTCTGTGCAGCGCTGACAAAAGCAACAAAGCTGGCACTGACCAAGTTTCCCCTACTTCTGCAGCCAGCTGGAGGCTGCCAAGCCCCATTTGCAAACCACCTCTGCCCTAACTCCAGACTCTAATAGCTCTAACGGCTGAAAGGCATCTGGTAAAGCTCAGTTTCACCCCCCTAGCGAAGGCCTGGTGTGTCCGTAGGTCTCACAGGGTGATTCACTGCTGGTCTGCTTCCCTCACCTGGTGCTCCAGCGTAGCCTTCAGCAATGGGCATGGTGCTTTGCCCGGCCTGGCCGTCGACGCTTCGCAGCCGCCCTCTGCCCGACATCAAGACGGTGCCTGGCGGCCCTGCCTCTCCAGCCTCCAGGATGATCCCGGTTGTTCCAGGCAGGAATGGGGCGACTCCTGATCCCTGGCAGAGCTGGCCGTGGAGGAGGTCTGGGCAGAGGAGGCTGGAGGGGAGGCCTGTGCCGCGGGGGTTGTATCCTCGGCCGGGACGGCAGCAGGGATATGCCCGGCTGGGGTTGCAGCGGCGGTCTCGGTGGCACCGCCTGCCGCGGTGCTTCTGGTCGCCCTTGGAAAGGTTTGAAGAAAAGGGAAATGCAGAATTATTCACTTAAAACAGTCTGTGAAATCGGCGTATGCATATTCATGGGAAACAAAAACTTCAACATAAAACCGAGACTTTCTGCACCGAGCTGGCTGCACGTTACAGCTACCGCCCGCCGGTGGCCTCCACCTCCCCTTCATGCTCTCTTCTTCTTCTGCTTTACTCCCTCCTGCCCACAGCTCTTCCCTTCTACACCGTACTCACACAACACCCAGCACAAGGCAGTCTTGTTCTTATCCAACCCTTTAGCACTATCACCAAAAAAAAAAAAAAATCCACAGGAAAAAAAGAGTAAATGGATAGTGACTTGGGGATTTTTTTCCCCTCCTTTGAAAAGCAATGAATTTAAAATTCCCAATACTCCCATTACTAATATGTTCTGACAACAAAGGCAGAACCCCAGGATATAATTTAGCTGAAAAGCCCTTATTGTTTAAAGGCAAGAGATCCCATTAAGAGACTTTTCCAGCAGGGCAGCCAACACATACGACATCGGGGCTGAACAGTGCTGACATGGTAACATTTGGGTTATCAGCTGGTACGGTTCTGCATCCTTTACAGGAATTACAATGCGTTCCTATAAGTGGAGTCCTGGATGAAATTTAAAGATGCAATGTCCTCCTAAGTGTGAAGCTGACTTATGCCATATTTATAACAGGAATTTACAACTGTGTAGATTTCAGCAGAGGCAACGACAACGAATTACCAAAAAGAGTTCCTAAATGCACATTTTAGACAGCAGAGTAAAAAAATCTAACTATACTGACATTATACATTAGCATTGGTTGTATCCATTGCAGTGTATGACCAAAGCATGGCTTTAGGCACAGGGATGGGAGTGAAAGTTTCTGGGGAAATGAACAAACATCCCCTTGCAAATTTACCTGATGCAGCTTGTCATGCCAAAGGCAATTGCCATGGTCCACAGCAGGAGACCTCTGCCCCAGGCTCTTGGTGGTGAAAACAAAGCACATTATCCCTTACAATCAGCCTGGGTAAGCTCACCAGTGGCTAAGGCTAAACCAAACGCCCGTGCTTCACAGCAGTTGGAGGGGCTTGGCCGTGGCAGCAGTGGCTGCCCTTCAGGAGAGGGCTTACAACCAGATCCTGCAGGTATGGACCATGATGGTGTTGCTGGCAACCCCCGTGCTGCTCCATCACTACCTGGTGCTTTTTGTCTGTGTTCCCAATGCCACATGTGATTAAAGCTGACAATCTCTGCACCTGCACTTCACCCCTGTGAATCTTATTTCTTGTTTCCAGTCTTGTAAAAACTCTTCCTAAGTGCTCTGAGGTACTGTGAGGCTATCTGAAGGCATGGTTCCACACCACCTGCGTTCATTTGCTATACATATGTCCTTTAAAAGAAAGTCTTCAGGAGCTCTGCTGGCTGATTTTAACTGCTGTGGGAATTGAAAGTTATACTGGCAATGCACCACGAGGTTGGACTGAAGCTTACTCGGTAATTCCTTCCACAAGGCAGAGGACTAAAAGGTGAAATGTTCACTTTGCACAAGTTAGAATGATCTTCATAAAAAAATCACAGATTCACACCTTCAACTAAGATCTTCAGACTAACCTCATTCAAAACTGGCAAAATATTTTATATTGATATATAAATATAAATATTTGTCATTTCTCTAGTCACTTAAACTGAGCTTTATTGAGCCAACAATTTGGGCTGACACAGGGAAAACGATTGTGCTTTTGTGCTTGTTTTTCTAGAGCTTTAAACAATAATCAGCAGCTCAAGTCCTGCATCCTGTGCCAGCAGCTTCCTTGCGTGCAGCATCAATATTCCAGCATTTAGAATTACCCAGCTACATTCCCGTAAAGCCAAATCAAAACTACCTGGCTAAAGCTCAACTTAAAGTGCCAGTTATAAGATATGTGAGGACTAAGAGGGATTGTGGTCTGCCATCTTTGCCAAGCTTTTTGGCATTTTTGACTGAGAAGCACCATACCATGACAAAGTACCAATATATCATCAGATGGAGATAACGCTGGAGCCATCCTATCTCGATGCTGGATTACCCAACACGTGTTTTCAATTCAGTAAGTGATGAGAAAATGAATCCCCAACAAAGGCTGAGGTGAATTTCGCTGGACCTGCTTAAGCTTTGCTGGGCAGCTGACAAAACAGACATGTTCCTTGTTGTCTGTGTAATATCCTGAAAGGCAGAGAGCAGAGCTGAGATGGTTAAACAGCTGAAAATGGTGATGCTGTCCTCGCAGTGGTGCTGTCACTGCTCGGTTTGTTGCCACCAGACCAAATGTCAACTCGGTTACCAGGTCAGACAGCAGCACTGCCTCACTTCTGCTCTCAGATGCCCATCTGCAGCTGAAACGGCTTCCCTTGTACAATTAAAACAAGAATGCTTTCATTCCCAGCTCCCCTTAAAGCATTTTATTTTATTCAGTTTGATTAGCCGGGCAGCTTTAACCTCCATCTTGCTTCACTGAAGAAAGAATAATTTTGCAGGAAGGAAGAAGAGCCGTGACCTGGATGCACAGCTCAAGTGTTTCTTTGCAGTTTGGCTGAATCTAATGCGGTTCTGCCCTGGCCACGTGCTCATCAGACCCCAAAACACACAGTAAGCACATAAAAGAAATTATCAAGTAAAGGAATCAGTGGCTGCACCCGCAAGAAGCCACAAAGACATGACCTGCGTTTTCTTATTGATATCAAAGGGGTTCGGAAATTAAGCACCCTCTTGTAAGGGAGGCTACAGGAACAGACCCCATGACTCCTTTGTGATATAACACTTGTGGTTTATGCCCCTTTTAGATGTAGCACAGAGCATACATTCAGCTTCTTAGCCCGTAACTTCAGCAGACAATGTTTAGCTGTTACTTTTGAAACCCTGATATAGCGACAATTACCAGAGGAATTGCAGTTCAGGTTAAATAACCGTAACCAGAGCAAACCACAATCCCAGCACACTTCTAACTACCAAAAATCTTCACGACTCTGTACAAAGAGGCAGTAATGAGAAAGAAACAGCTGACTTTAACTTTTAGTTTCACACAATTTGAAGAGCACTTGCGTCTGCAGAGAGGCACAGACCGCAATGAGCAGCTCCCCTGCACGAACTCCTCTCTCAGCAGGAGATGTGGGGCAGTGGCCATTTAATTTGGACTAACAGAAGCTGGAAAACATAACCTTGGTGAGTACATCGTATGTGGTTATCTACGTCCTTGGAGCAGAGCACCACCTGTCACCACCCTGTTTAATGCTGTCATTAAGTTGCATTATCTTCACCAGAAATCCAAACTAATACAATGCTGTTCCAGCCTCTGGGTTTACATCTGCTGTTGTCTGCAATCCTTCACTATCCTGGTGTCTTAGTTTGGACTCAGGCACTCCAAACCCTAGATCCAAAATATCTTACGAATTTCTTAATAAGACACAGCCACACTCCTGAGTTCAGCCCCGGGCCTGCACCTCTCAGTAAGACTTTATATTGGATTCCTTCTGACATATCCTTGCCTTACCGCCCTCAACAGCTCTATTAGTAACAAGTTGTTCCTGTTATGGTCCTTCTGAAGTCAGATGACATCACTTGAATGCTACGATACGCTGGCAAGTGGTGCAGAAGACACTCGGCACTGATCTACGGCCAGAACTGAAAGTCTTCTTTCAGCTAACGCAGGTACCAGAGAGGCCACTGCAGTCACACCGCCTGCGAACACAAAACCAGCTAAAGCTGTGCCCAGCTCATGTAACAGGGCTCCCAAACTGCTTCCCATAAAGGCTCTTTTGCCAAAATCTTTCTGGAACTCCGACTGTCCAAACTTACCCAGACTGCTGCGCTAGACAGCGTTATTTTAATTGGAAACATTTGGGGATCCAGGCATTGCTTCACAAATCCTGCAGAGGCCAGAGGTAGCTGAAAGCAGAGAGGGCCGTCCAAGGTACCTGCGTGTCTGGGCTCCAACAGCAGAGCCTTTCCCCAGGTGCTAAAAACCTGACGGTGGATGGAGAAACAGCTCTGCTCCGAAACTGAATTACGCTATGGAAACCCAGGCACGCTTTAGGCTTTTTAATGCCTTACAGCGTTGTAATAGAGGTTGACAAATACAGCCCATGAGGCCGCCTGAACACCTGCGTTAAATAGCAGGAGAAAGATTACTCTGCGTGTCTTGGATCTTTCTCCAGTGTCAGTTCCCAGTGCAAATTTATTTTTGGTGAGGCAGATGAGAAATAGGATAACACAGATATATCATACTGCATCTTAATGGGAACTGGGTCTCTTCTGAGAGACTCTGGGATTAAGGTCTTAACCCCACTGAATTGAACAGGAGATTTCACTGAAAGGAGTATCTGAGAATTACAGACCTCCTCTGTTCCTCTGCACTTCTTCCTTTAAAAGAATAAATATATATATATATATTAATGTTATTTAATACAAGAGCTTCTCATTGCAGAATTTCCCCCCCCTTTCCCTTTGAGGAGGGGCAGTGAGTGAGGGGCTGTGGTGGAGCTCAGCAGTGTAGCAGGGTAACATCACTGCAACAATACTTTTGTTTTCAAATGACTCTATACTCAAAATAAACACATCTACAGCAGGCTTTCAAGTCTTTGCCTCAGACCGAGAGGGGTATCCTTCCCCACAGGAATTAGTTTTGGATCCTCCATGAGGTACAACTTTTCCACTCAAGCGAGCGCTCTCAGTCAGGCACCAGATCTCCCCCACCCACCACCAGCTCCAGCAGCCCACAGGGCTTCCCCTCAGCACCTCTTCTTCAGATTTGGGGCCAGCCACAGAAACTGGCCTCTTCCCCACTGCTCTCTCACCAACTGAATGCATTCTGCCCTTTGAAAGCACAGCATCCAGGAATCAATACTCCAGCTGGGCTGACCAGCCCCAAACACCCCATCTCCAACAGACCTTTCACAGGCCTATCTCCACGTCAGTACTGGTGTCAGCATCTGTACTTCCCCTGAATTATCCTTCTCTAAAATGAATAAAATGTCAAAGAAAAAAAAACAAAAAGTCCAGAAAAGTTTTTTCTGACAAAGTGTGTTTATCTCAGTTTTGACACAATAATTTGTGTTGTGTCAAATTTATCTATGTGTGCACAGAACTAAAACCAGAAGCATCTCCTGAGCTTCACAGCCAACTGAAAAGTGCAATTTCAAAATAGCCTACACTTCCTGTGTTTTTTCCTCACAGGAACAGGAACAGGAAACCAGCTTCCTTCTGTACACTGACTCTTTCAAAAGAAAAAACTCATTGCTGAAATTTTGGGAAAGAACTGCAGAGGGGCTGAGTGGCATTTGGCAAGCCCTCTAAACCATTATGGCAGGGTTCACCGACACACAGAGGTTACCATTTCATAGCATTTTGAGCCAAAGAGGTTGTGTTTCTGCTTCTCAACCACTCTCACGCAAACTTTAAACTCACTGTGAAGTTAGATTTGAGCCAACAGGTTGGATGGCTAACAGAAGTGGATGAGGTGTGAAAGCATTGCCAGCTGTGGTGTGAATGTATTGCCAACTTGCCACCTAAGTTGTGGGAACACAAACTTCTGGCAGGGCTATGAATCAAAAAGTGTTAAAATGCCACACCAAGATATGCCAGAGCTTGTTTGCGAAAGTCCTAAATCAAAGAGTCGGTGCTGAATTATAATCATTAACTAACGCTATGAACAAAACTTACAGAGAATCTTTCTTATCATAAATTTGAATTCCTTTGTCTTCGGTTTTCTCAATTTACTTTTCAATTCCCCTCGAGGAATCAGCTGGAAGGATTCTCACACATAATCTCATACACACAAGAAAAAGTTGAATAAAATAACTGGAATAATACCTACAGATAAATATTAATTAAAACTTGCTTTAAAGTCACTATCTAAAATATTAGTTTTGCTACTATCTTTATTCTGGCTCAAAGTGAACATGAAAGCATAAAAGACTTTTTTTTTTAAGAATGCTTTTAAAAGCAAAGTCCTCTATGGTGTCTTAGAGGAAAGCCAAAATTATAGTCATTGTAAAAACAAAGCAGAAACTGTGTAATATTAAATTTTTCCTCCCTTGTTTAGTTCCTCTATAAGTGATTCAGGAAAGAAAGCCTGTTGAAAAACAAATAAAAAAGCATTAAAAATGCATGAAACTTACTTGTGTCAGACTGAGATTTCAGCATGCCTTCCATGTCTGTGGTGATTTTAGAGACTTGACTATAAAACTGCTGGACAGAATTTTTGAGGCCAGAAATATCTTTGGAATGAGATGATATAGTTCCATTCATTTCACGTATGCAGTTCCACAAGCTGCTCACGTGCTTATTCAGACCTTCTTTTATCTTCTGCAAGCTACCCGAGACAGAGTCCAGCTTGCCGCAAACTTTTTCAACATTCGCGACTCGGCTCTCAACATCTGAAACACCATCCTGGACACCTTGGGTTTTTTCTTTACACTTGTTGAGATCATTCAGGACATGGTGGTTTAATTGTTCTAGTCTCTCTTTCACTTCACTACAGCAGTTATCACTAGGATGAATGGTTTGATTTGCAAATGTCCTCTGCATTTGATCAATTTTTCGGTAGACGCCTCGTTGTGTTTTTCTACAGGTAGAATTGACACCCAGAAGTTGCTCCCTGCAACTATTCAAGCCATCTTGCAGATTTTTCATATCTTTATCCATGACATTTAGACTATACCGGAATACACGCAAATCTCTCTGCATTTTCTGGTTGTCACGTTGGTTATCCTTAATTAAGTTAAGTTTCTCATTAAGAGAGCTATTTAAAGACTGCAGAAGAACAGAGTTGTTCTCTGTTTTCAAAAGCAAGTGATTGTATTTGTTATTACAATTTTCTAGCTCTTTCTGAAGGTCCTCTGTCCCTTGTGGTGCTGACAGACATTTCTGGCCACAGAGGTGTTCGAGGGACAGCAATTTGTTCTTGACAAGATTTATCTCCGTTGTAAACTGCTCGTTTGCAAATCCAGTGTCACTAGGCATAATAGGCCCAGGATTAATAAACATTCCATCCGGGTCTGTGGTATTAGCAATCTCTAAAATAGTGCCACCTAGCCTATCCTCTAGTGACCGGAGCTTTTGGTCAAACAAGTCTCTCAGCTCATCTACCTCAGCAGCTATAGCACCTCGGAGAGTTTCCTCGACGTAAAAGCAATGTTCTTCAGCATTTCGTTCAGTAATGTTCATCCTTGCATCTAGCTCCTCCAGCCTCTCACCAAACATGTCTTCCAAATCCGGAGTTGACAACCGAGTGATTTCATTGTCTATTCTGACATTCAGGATCCTGTGTGCTTCCACAACTCTGTCAAGCTTCTTGTCTAAATCTTTTATCTGCTGGTCAAAGTCATTTCTCTCACCCTCCTTGCAACAACTGGACTGGTTTGATGGAATCTGAGTTCGGAGAGTATTTATTTCTTTCCTCAAATCATTCTCTTTTCCTCTTATAACATCAATTATACCCAAACAGTTATTGTCATTGTCATCACACTGCTGCTGGATATCCTGCAGTTTGTATTCACAAGAGTTCTTCAGATCTGCCATTTTCTTTTCAAATCCTTCCAGTATTTCCTGTCTGAGGGACTCAAATTTTGAGTCTATGTATTCCTGATACACATTGCCACTAGGCATTGTTAATGTAGGTCCCTGTGCTGCCTCCTGCAGTTGTTTTAGTTGTCCTTCATAGCCTTTTACTTTTCCATTCAGTTCCTCCAGTTGGTCATTCCTGATCTTCAATGCTTCTTTGACCTCGGCTAGCTCAGACTTTATATCTTCCATTTCAAAATCAAGAAAAGGGTCTTTCTGATCTTTATTGCTGAGGAGTCCAGGCAGATGGATAGTGTCTGTTTCACCACCGACTGCACTGTCAGGCTCTGGGCGGTCATAAAGGTTGTTCAGCCAAGTGACCAACATCTTACTTGCATCTTCTTGGACAGTCAGCTTTAGGTTTTCATTCACACCTGCCAAGGAGGACTGAAGTTCAAGCACTGATCGTGTAAGTCTAAACAATTCTTCCTCAAGAAACTGCATTTTCTTCTCATATGGCGGAGGTTCTGGCGCTTCTGTTGGTTCTGCATCTGTTTCAAAGAAATAACAGACTAAGTCTGGAAATCAGCATTCCTAAGGGTATCTGTTTTAGTCAACAGAGGCCAATTTTACTTTTGCTAAATTTTTTTCCAAAAAATACTTCAAAATGCATAACGCTTGTTCTCTTTTCTATTCTTGCTTTCGGTAGTTTATAATTAAAAAACCTTATCAAATAATTCCAAACTAATCATTTTAGAACATTGACCAATTCTTGCTCAAACAGCTGTACAGAAAAGACATTGTCCACACAAGCAGCAGAATTCCTGCCACTGGAAGCTGGACAGGCATAGCTGATCCTGCCTAAGGGGATGGATAAATGGAATCCCTAAGATCCCCCCATTCCTAGTTCCTAGGATTCTCAGCAACAAGGCACTAGCAAGTCAAGACACTGAGTGTGATCCCAAATAATGATTTAATATAATTCAAACCTTCAGCTAGATCACCAATTGTTTTGATTTAACAACCATTTAAATATCATTTTAATGTGTAGATCTGTATGACCATATTTATTTACATATTCCTATGTATCTTTGCCATTATGCACAGAGGGATAAACTCTATAAAGACATCGTGTATAAACCCTACTGTGATGTCACATTACATCCTTTAGGCAATTCATAATTCAAGGACCTTTGTGCAGTTAAGGCATGCTATTACAGGCACAAGTAAAAGTAAAATGAAGTTAAGAAGTAGAAGTGAAGAAGAAAATATACTTTATAGAAAATACATACACAAGTTGTTAGCATCAGAAAAACTCTTTCAGATGACAAGTAAACAGCTAAGGATAAGTAAATTCCCCTGTCAAATTGTGACTCTATTGTAATGGAGTATTGCTAACAGTTAAATCTTCAGACACAAGAATTTTAGCACTGATTCCAAGCTACGAATACTAGATATACTTTGGAAAGCAACACTGAGATTGAGTTTGAAGGACATGCAGTTGGAATTAAAAAGGACATGAAACTGCTGGAGAGTGTCCAGAGGAGGGCTACGAAGATGGTGAAAGGCCTGGAGGGGAAGACGTACGAGGAACGGCTGAGGGCACTGGGCCTGTTCAGCCTGGAGAAGAGGAGGCTGAGGGGAGACCTCATCGCAGTCTACAACTTCCTTGTAAGGGGGTGTCGAGAGGCAGGAGACCTTTTCTCCATTAACACCAGTGACAGGACCTGCGGGAACGGGGCTAAGCTGAGGCAGGGGAAATTTAGGCTTGACATCAGGAGGGGGTTCTTCACAGAGAGGGTGGTCGCACACTGGAACAGGCTCCCCAGGGAAGTGGTCACTGCACCGAGCCTGACTGAATTTAAGAAGAGATTGGACTGTGCACTTAGTCACATGGTTTGAACTTTTGGGTAGACCTGTGCGGTGTCAAGAGTTGGACTTGATGATCCTTAAGGGTCCCTTCCAACTCAGGATATTCTATGATTCTATGATTCTATGATTCTTAGTAATGAAAAAGTATGAACACACACAGTGTAGCTATTACATACACACTGGTCTATTTTTGCTTTGAAACATAGTTTTTTTAGGGAGTTTTGTCAGAGCAAAAAGAAAATCTCTAGATATAAGCAGCATGCCAGTTACTAAAGAGATTATTGTGTTTTATTATCAGTTTGCTGAAGTAATAGTTTAGGTGGGCTAACAAAATATTTAAGCGCTTTATTTTTAAAGCATGTATATAATGTATAGGAGTAGTTTAAAACTATGTATTCAGTCCCACTTGATTCCACTACACAAAAACACCAGTGGAAATCTGACTAAGTGAACAGCTAATATGACATTAATCTCTGATGCTGCTGTGAAGAAGTCCTTCAAAAAGAAGCATCTGTTTACCATTTCTTATTGATGGAGGAAAGGCATAATCCTGCAGCAACAGCACTCCTCTTACGCTTTCAGAAGGCAGTATCTAATACAACATTATTCATTCTTTATAGTGTTTTTTTTTTTTTTTTTTTTTTTTTAGCATTTGAGGCTTATCATTCCCTTAACCTTAGTATTAAGGCAGGTAATCTAATATTAATCTGTAAAACCTGCTCAGGTCCTTGAACAAACAACACACTGTGAAATGCTAGGAAGCACCATCTATCATTAAAACTAGTACCTGTTCTTTTTTCATTTTAATAATAGTTTCTCTCAAATATATCTTTTTTTTTTTTTTTTTTTCCTGAACATTGAAGAAACCACCAAAAAAAAATCTCTGTTTTTACAAAAAACGACCTTAAAACAAAGATTTTCCTGAACCATGAGCAGACAGATGGCATTTATGGCCAGTGTTTCACACACACCCCTTCATTATTCTTCAGGAAATTCTCTGTATCAAGACTGTTATTGCCTGGCTATTATTTTCCCACCACACAGTGTCTTCCATATGGATTTTGTACCTGCCAGTAGTTGAGTTTAATAGAAACCATAACGGTTATTATACGTAAAAGGACAAAGCAAGAAACCAGACGTGATCATGCATAGCAAAACTCAAACAAAAAGTTACCCAAGCCTTTCTTCACAACAGCTTTCACCGGTGCTGCGGGACGCCGAGCTGCCTTTGGCTGTTCTGCTGGCCCTTCTCTGCAGTCTTCACCTTTGTATCCAGGACAACATCTCCATTCTAGCTCTGTTACTGTCTTGTATGCAACTGTGTACCGAGGTCTGAAACTCGTTCGGTATCTGCCAAAACAGAAAGTATTGTAAATGATCTGCAACATAAGCTTTTACTTAGACTACGCCTAAAATTAAAACTGTTTTTCTTTTAAGTGAGATTCAATTAACTTCAGACATGCTTTATTTTTTTCCTCCAAACATTAATTAAACAAACTTTTTTGTCCAGGTCTAAAAGTTACATGCACTTAGCTCATGGATCTAAGAGCAAACATGGCCCAGGCATGAGGGACTTTCTTCTATGAGCTGAGGGACACTGGTCTGGGAGAAGTGAAGGTTCATCTCGTCAGGCATTGCTGAGAGTAACGGTGACTGCCAGCGTATCACTCTATGAATTCAAAACCTTTCTCCTCTAACTACTTTTCATCACAAATCCACCCACAGGGCTCCTCCGGCAGCAATTCTTCACGGCATCAAAACTGCTCCTGCCTGCTTTGTCCCACTTGTTCCAACATTATTGTCCCTTAAAACACTCCCCAGAATCCGTATGCACAGAGCAGTCAAAGCCAGGAAGGCTGTTCCAGGAAAAGACAGGATGCTGACAGCATGAGTCAGATAAGGACATGAAAGAAGGGGTCAGATGAAAGGCTAAGACCAATGAGAGAATCGACTCTTTCCTACTTCGTTGCCCCTGTTAAGCTCAAGAGTTCTTGAGGACAAACCTATGCACCTTACGTACACAAAGACTTAAGGTTTCCTGATTAATCACTCAAAAAGTTAATAAATGGCAACCTGACTCTGAATGTGCAACTGTCTTCAACCAAGACTTTTTCCACAATTTTTGTTAAGTGCATATATCATAAGTTAATCTACAGTCATACCCTAAGGGATCCCCCCAGAGGATATTCAGAGGCTGTTTTATTTTATAAAAACTGTTACCAGTTTAAGGTATAGCTCATGTAGGGTGGAGAGATGAGGAAATGAAATAAAACAGGAATTTGTCACCTAAGTTCTGTAAAGTGGTAAGCTTGGAACACAAACTTCAATATGAACGAACATCTTACCCCGATTCCTCATGAGAATTTCTTTCTGTGAATAAAACTATCATGACACTACCCTCTCTGTTGCACGTTTGGGTCTTTTTTCATAGATTATTTCACATTAGAACAACACTTTGCATCCTTTACTCACTTCACAACTGAAGTGCCCCTAAAGTAGTCATACTGGCAGAAAAAATTGGGAACAAATGCAATGGACTTAACAAAAGCTCTACAACACATCTCATTCATTCAGATGGTATTTTGGGACAGAGAGAAGGCAGTATGTAATGAGCACCCAATGCTATCACAAAAAATCAACTCCACGTCTCGTTAAATGTTTACTTGTATTAATATGCAAAATCCCCTTTTGTTTAAAAATAATCAGTAATCTGCTACCAGATGGAAAGAATTAAATCTTACAGCAACTGTGAAACAGTTTCTATTGAAAGTCACCAAGTTTAACTGTTAATCTCCAAGGCTTGTGTGCAAATAACTGCAGAAATAATTCTGCATTTTTCATGCATCTCCCACTCCACTGACATAATTCTAGGATGTCCTACATCCGACAGCCGTTTGCCATCCGTGTTTTGATAAACTGCTTAGAAAACTCGGGGTGGGGGGCTTCAAAGTGTTAACCACTAAGTAGGAATTTGTTTCTTTTCCAAACATATCTTTCTGAGTTCTGTAACAATATATTCCACTTTTGGCACTGAAGAAATACTCAATGTTCTTTTTTGCGTTACTACTCTATGTACAACCTCTCATTTAAGGGAAAAAAAAAGTTACTGTGACTAGAGACAATGCCATTATTTTCCAAGCCATTTTGGGGCCAAACAGTAGGTTATTCTAACAAGCCTCTCCAGGATTCCCTTTGCCCATGAATCTTCAGAGAAAGGCAAGGGTGGGACTAGCCTGTAAATCTGTCCATCAGCCACTCCCAGCTGAATGGTTTGCTCTGGTTATCAGGTTTTCAGATTCTGCCTTGGTGAACATTAACTCAGAGGGGTTTCCGATCCTTTTTAACCTTCACTATAGCACACGATGAAACTGCTGTGGGCTGCGCTCAAGCTCATAATTTCTTTTACTGTGTTCACAAAAACATCTGCTGAATCCTGTTTACAAATGTAAAGAGCAGCCATCCCAAGGTCAAGTGCTTCAAAATTAAGCGAGTGCAACGTAGAGGGCACCATTGGAAAGGACAACATCCCGACCACCCAGGAACTTCCTTTTCCTTCTCCCTTATCTGAACATTAAACCACATCTCATGTAGGTAATTTGGGTAGGATCCCCTTCCTTTGAACTAGCTGCTAGAGGCAGAGGAGTGACAGGATTAGCTAAATGTTTTAGTGGTTTGAAGTGGTTTAAGTGTCATTACCATCTCTCTCACAAACACCACATTACTGAAGTACAAACTTTGAACTTCCAGATCCATTTTCATATGCTGGAAATGGCAGTACAGACTTTTCTCTGATTGCCATAAAGCACTTGACTGCTCTCAGCTTTGTGTGTGTTCCTCTCTATACTGTCAGGGACAAACTCCTCCCTGAAAATCAAAGTATTTTGACTATCTTCAGATCACTAAGTTATATTTCTTTTCTTTTTCTTTTTTTTTTCAGTAAAAATAAATAAATAAATAAATAAAGTAGCTAAAAGCAATTTTATAAAAGGGAATAAGAACAATGTTTATGCAAAACATGCATTTGTTTACTCAAATTATAAAATGAGGATTTTCCTTGTACCGTTTCTGCCATTTCTCTCATATCTTAGATGAGTTTCTCTTTCCATACTTTCTCTATAGTCATGTTCATCAATATAGACAGCTTCAGATGACTTCAATATTCAGGTAAAAGTAAATTACAAGACAACCAAATATAAGAGAATATAAATAAATATAAAGAAACCATGCTTAATATTTTTCATATTGGCTAATTATACAACTTTTATAGCAATCTGTCTTAAAAATAAAAAATATGCAAGTTCAACATTCTCAGTCTTCATTTTCTTTTATTTCACAAGTTCACGATCATAATAGGCATAAAACACTTTAGTATGATTTATTACAAAAATTATTTGAAATGCGGAAGAATCCTCCTGCCTTAAATTAAAGAACAAAAACACCGTGTAAGTCTTAGCAGTCTATTCCTTACAAATTCTCATAACTATGTCTGAGAGCTCAAGCAAATACGCAAATTGGATCTGTTTTGATTTCAGCTGTGACCCATCAAGTGCTGACTAACCTGAATCTTAAACCACAATTCTCCTAGGGCAAAAAGTGTGCTAGAATGAAAATGCTTCAAAATCTGGACGCACCACAGCTTTCACATTTTACAACCTAAACTGCCGTACCAAGACAGTTATGCTCATGTGGAGCTCAGAAATTAAACAGGGATTTTCTTAGCAAGAACTACTGCTTCTCTATGCTGCCAGTCCAGTTCATTTCATCACACAGCCAGTCCCATTGACTGCAGCAAGACTAGTCATGTTGAGGCAGGGAAACGGGAACTTACCCTAAAACTTTTCTAATTGGAATTCGGTCATATACAAGTTTCTTAAAATCACAGCTTAATTGCTACAGCTTCACTCCTTCGTGCAGACTTGTGGAAGTTGCCCATGCAAGGAATGTGTCACCATTCCAGGACTATCCAGATGCACTGATGAATGAATGACCTTCACCAACAAGCGGTCAGCCTAAGCGTGATTCCCAGTCATGTAAGTTTTTTATAGCCAGAACTTTGCTTGCACAGTGGGTTTCAGTGGAGGAGCTGCAGACTTCCAAGGTTTTGGCAGGCTGCAACAGCACTGAACACAATTATATTCTTGGTTACGGTTCTGACAAAACTAAGGAAAACGTACCTTTCTGCTAGGGAGCGCAGCCAGAAAATTATTTCTGATTCTACACAATTTAATGATGTAGACTTGGGAGCTACTAGAATACAAAAATCAGATGTCTCTGTTTATATTTGCAGTATTTGGAATTAAGCTGCTCGCACATTAGAGTATACACAATGTACTCAGTGTGGCAGGAGAGACAAAATGTCATTATAACGTTGCTTCTCTATGCAGCTGGGTTGTGTTAAACAGTTAGAACACAACATGCCCGAGTTTCTCATATTTTGTCTTGTAGTTATGAATCTCTGCAGTTACCTAATGAGGCAATTTAGTCAAATTCAGGAAAGTTTCATAAGTCTCTTAAAGAATTGTGGCTCCGCTTTAATGCCTGTATATGTTGGAACGTAATTAAAAACATAATAATCATAATAATTTATTAAATCTTCCCCCCATGACCTTGGATTTCTGTGATTCAAGTGTTAATAATCACAATTATTTTTACAACTGTCTCACAGACAGTAAAATTTTTCTTTTCGTATGTGATTAAAACTTGCATCATCAGCATTTATTGTGCCTCGTCACCTAATCCTCACGAGGACTTCCAGCTGAAGGAGATGGCCACATCCTCTTGGAGAATTGAGCTAAAATAATATTAATGAGGTCATTCTTTTAGACAGCAGGAACAAAGAGTGCCTTCAACAGTCTCTAATCTTTCCTTGCAAGAGAGAAAATAAGAACAGCTGGTATTTACATTACTGGGAACAACAGACATGGAGAAGGTTAACATCCTCAACAACTTTTTTGCCTCAGCCTTCACAGCCAGTCAGGCTTTACCACATCTCTTGAATCCCTGAACTTCTAAGCAGGGGCCGGGGGAGCAAGGTCGTTCGCACTGTAAGTGGAGAACAGGTTTGAGACCACCTGATGACACTGAACAAGTACAAGTCTATGGGGCCTGACGCCATACATACCAGGGGCCTGAGGGAACTGGCTGAGGGAGTTGCCAAGCCTCCCCCCATCATATCTGAAAAATCCTGGCAGTCAGGCCATGTGGTGACTGGAAAAAAGGAAACATCACTCACATTTTTAGAAAGGGTAGGAAGGAGGACCTAGGGAACTATAGACCAGTGAGCCTCACCTCTGTGCTTGGGAAGATCATGGAAAAGATCCTCCTGAAAGCAATGTCAAGGCACACGAAGG